GTACCGTATATACTCGAGTATAAGCCGAGGGGGGTTTTTTCAGCACAAAAAATGGGCTGAAAAACTCGGCTTATACTCGAGTATATACGGTACCAAATTTGCAGATGATACTAAGCTGGCAGGGAATAGCTAACACCCTAGAAGATAGGCTCAAGATCCAGATGGATCTTGACAGACTAGAACACTGGGCCATATTTAACAAAATGAAATTCAATGTAGAGAAAAGTAAAGCCCTACACTTAGACAAGAAAAACCAAAAGCACACATATAGATTGGGTGAGTACAGCAGTAACTGTGAGAATGATCTTGGAGTCTTAGTGGATAACCGGCTAAATATGACCCAGCAGTGTGCAGCAGCAGCTAAAAAAGCTAATGCAATCCTAAGTTGCATTAACAGAGGGATACAATCGAGATCAAGTGAGGTACTAATACCACTCTATAAAGCCTTAGTAAGACCACACCTAGAGTACTGCATCCAGTTTTGGTCACCACACTATAAAAAAGATGTTGAGACTCTAGAAAAAGGACAGAGAAGAGCAACCAGGATGATTAGGAGACTGGAGGCTAAAACTTACAACGAACGGTTGCAGGAACTGGGCTTGGCTAGTCTAGTAAAGACAAGGACCAGGGGAGACATGATAGAGGTCTTCCAATATTTGAGGGGCTGGCACAGGGAGGAAGGGGTCAAGCTATTTTCTAAAGCGCCTGTAGGCCAGACAAGGAATAATGGATGGAAACTGAACAAGTAGAGATTCAACCTGGAAATAAGGAGAAACTTTCTGACAGTGAGAACAATCAACCAATGGAACACCTTGCCCTCAGAAGTTGTAGGAGCACCATCAGTTGAGACTTTCAAGAAGAGATTGGACTGCCATCGATCAGAAATGGTGTAGGGTCTCCTGCTTGGGCTTGGATTAGATGACCTACAAGGTCTCTTCCAACTCTTATTTTAAATATAAAATTCTCCAAAATGTAAAGGAATGAGGAGAATTGGGATTGCCCGATTTTAAATTGTATTTTGTGGTCTGCTATTTGATTTGGATGAAAGAATGGTTGTTGCTAAGAAATAAAAGAAAGTTATAATTGGAAGAACACAAACTGAGATTTGGGTGGCATTTTTTATGCACAATAAAATTAAAACGAATGTAGATTTCAAAAATCAGTTAAGTTAGGAATGCCATATTAAGAATATAAAACAAATATAAACTCAGACTCTGCCTGAAAATACTTTACTGGATTAAGCCAACAGTGGCTTAAGCATTTTGTAGTGAAGAAACGATGTAAAAACAATGATTAACATGTCAAGACTTACAAGTATAGGAAACTAGAGAACTTAAAATGAAATCAGAAGAACAATGGACTGCTGAGGGATTCATTTTTCAAAAGGAATGTAAATGAACTGGCAGAAAAAAAAATAGCTTGCATTTCTTCTTGTCCCCTCATGCAGAGCAGAGATATTGGAGGAGATATCAAGATAGTACATGATATAAGTGATATATAATTTATAATTATAAAACGTGTATTGAACTGTTCGGGACTCATGATTTAATTGGGGTAAATGCCAGAATCCTGACAATAAGCTGTTTGTATAGCATGCATAGGATTCCCTGGTCTATCATCACAGTAAGACTGAATAAAACTTTTTTTTACAATAGTAAAGCAAACAGCATATTCTCTTGAAACTCTTCCTCTTCAATCTCTCTACTCTGCTGTCTATAATGGCGATCAAGTAACTGAGGGATGCTGCAAAGGTCATAAATAGTTGTACATTTGCTGTAAATTTTAATTTTTTAGCACCATCGTAACTTTGACATAATGTAAATTGCTGTGTCTGTAAAAATTGTTAATGTTATAGAAGCCATAGCATAAAATAAACCATGGCTTAATATAGGATATGAATCCTATAATTTCTAAAGTGTAGGCTTTTCATTAATTTAGACACTGGGTTGAAGAAATAAGTTTTATTCATGAAGATTGCAGTAAATAAAGGAGAATAAAAATGAAATATACATGATAAAATATAAGTAAGAAGAAATAAATTACTTTCTTTTGAAATAAACATTTTTAGATATCACCTAGTACAACCACTACATTTGTAGTTGAGAATGGAAAAATTAAAGCTGTCTCCAAAAGAATTATCCTGTGTTAAACCAAATAAATAACCAGAGATTGCTTGCAGATATTATCACTGAAAACAAAATTCACTGTCTTTGAAAGAAACTGAGGAAACAGTTATAATAAATTGCAAAACATTCATAATAAAGTTGTATTTTTCCAAAACCAACTATGCAAAACAAAAAAGTAGAAGGGACAGATAGGGAGCAGATTTTGACCACATAATCAAAGAGGGAATTTACAAAATGTGAATTTGTTATTCAATGTTATACCCCTTATTTCTGCAAAAGTGTTTTAGCCTATATTTAGATGAGCCAAACTGCCAAGGTCTTATCCAGGCTATTGTTACATGCAAGTGGTTTGCGGGGAACTCTGAAAAAAAAAGCTTTTTGTTAAACTAATCAGCTTTTAAATTAATCCTGATTAAAAAAAAAATCTGGATCACATCAAACAATTTTTCTGGAACTTGTTTTTCTTCAGGATGTCTGCTATGCTTGATTGTATTTTTCAGCCTTCAAGCAAAGACCATGGGAATTGACCCAATAGTTCTTGGGTCTGTGTCTACCATTTTTTTTTTTAGCATATACTCCTTTAGATCGCCTGATGTTTGAAACTACTTAGTTCATGATGACTCACTCCTTTTCTTTTGCAATGCTCTCATTAGATCAGACATGAAATCTCCTTGTTCAGAAGCATGTCCCCTCGAAATTGATCCACTTTGTTTTGGTCTTACGACTTGACAAGCACCTTCTTCTTGTCTTCTAGGAGGTGGTGGTGGTTTCTTCTTGGTTGCAGGAGGAAGACCAGGGGCAGAGAATGAGGGTGGTGGTGGTGGTAGTAGTTCTGCAGAGCCAATGCCAATAGGAAGAAAAGGAGGCGGGGGAGGAGTGAAATCAGGAGGAGATTCACAGTATTCAGGTAGCGGTGGAGATGGTGGTGGCGGCGGCGGCGGTGGCAGATCTTCCAAATTGGGAGGAAGTGGTATAAATTCAGGGGGGGGTGGAAATTCTTCATAATTTGGTAAGAAAGTTGGATTTTCTCTCTCAGTAATGCTGGATAAATCCAATGTCGCAGTAACAGCGGAAGATCTTCTTTGAGGAGGGGGAGGAGGCTGAACACCACTACGTTTGCGGATCTGTTTCACCTGTTGTACAGGTAGGGATGATGTTTGACCAGCATTGAAAGTATCATCTGCATTTTTAACCTTAAGAATTATTTAAAAATGATTAGCATATGAATAAGAAATTATGACTTCCGGAATATCATGGAAGAGTATTCAATCAAGAATTCCCCACTGGTACATTGTTTATTATTCAAGAATCAATCATTTGCAACATTCATTCAACAACTTTAACGTGTGGACTTCAACTTCCAAATTCTCTAGTCAGTATGCTGGCTGGGGAATTCAGGGAATTGAAGTCCACACATCTTACAACTGTTGGGGTTGAAAAACAACTATTTAGATCAGGGGTGTCAAACACAAGGCCTGCGGGCCGAATCTGACTCACTCTGGAAAATATAAGGGGCTGGCCCGCATTGCTTTGGCCTGGCCTACCAATGCGGAAACATCGCGCCAGCATGGCTTTGGTCCAGTATACTCAGTGTGAAGAGGAAACATCACAACAGCGTGAGTTCAGCCTGTTTTACCCAGTGCAAAGAGGAAACATGCCAGCAGTTTGGGGAGTGGTGCCAAGCTGGTCATGCCCGCCCACCCAGCCAGCCTCACCCACCCAGCCCCCCTGAGGTCAATCATAGCCCTGATGTGGGCCTCAGTGAAACTGAGTTTGATACCCCTGATTTAGATGCTCCCTGATTTTACTAGGGTTAATGCTGATAAAAATAAAAGTCTATAAAATATTTTTACATTCGCCAGGGCAAATGTTTTTGTAATTCAACTTACCTTTTAATTTTTCATACATGAATCAATATGGAACTGAAATCTAGTTTGCTTTAAAAATTGTTTGAATTTTACAATTGCTAAATGCACACACCACACAGAGGTAGAGAATTATATAAAATGCACACCTAATGAAAATAATGTGCAAATGTATCATTTTAAGAGGAATTGTTACAAATGTTAGTAGAAGTGTGTGTGTGTGTGTGTGTGTGTGTATATATATAAATAAATAAAATCATTTTGGTATAAACTTTAAAAAAAAATCAAACTAGTTATAACACCAAAATTATATTTTAAAAAAAGTAGAAGCATAAGGAGAGGCTTAGCCATACCTAACATTCACCTGCATTCAGTATTTCTAATACCCACAGTATTCTGATTACTAATTTTTTATGCTACCCCTCCCCGTTGTGAAATGTTAATTCACAAAGAGACTTAATGGAAGAGATTGGAAGCAAAATTTAACATTCTTTATAATGAATGTGTAAAAACTTTTTAAAAATGACATTAAAATAAGAGGTGCATTTTAAGGATTTTTAAAAATAGATATAGAAGAGTTGACATATGGCAGTTTCATATTTATACTCTTAGATGGATGCCCTTAGCCACTGCCAAAAACAATTGTGGAGTAGAAGGGACAAGACAGTCTGAAATTAAACTCAAGCAAGGTACAGATAATCCTTGATTTACAACCAGTTGCTTAATGACTATTTGAAGTTAAGATGAACTCTCCAGAAGCCGCTTACAACATTTCCAAAGTTTCAAAACCCACACTCATCCCTGTGGACATTTGATTGTCTTTGAGTGTTTGGCAAATGGCCGTTTGCAACATTCCAATCATGTGACCACAATTTGCAATGTTTTTTGCCAATTCCCAGCATTACCGTATTTTTCGAAGTGTAAGACGCTGAGAAGTATAAGATGCACCAAGCTTTTGGTGAGGAAAACAAGAAAAATAAATTGCTGCCTCAGAGCAGTTTGCCTTCTTGCAGCAAACAGCCTGTTTTTCAGTCTCAGCACAGCCTGATTACCACAAGCAGCTGATTGTTGGTTGGATCAGCCTCCCAACATCGCCATAGCCTATTGCTGCCTCCGCGCGCCCCATTTTTGGCCTCTGCATCCCATTTTCAGCCTCCGCACACCCCATTTTTGGCCTTTGTGTGTCCCATTTTCCACCTGTTCCAGGCAGTGGGAATTGGAATGGGCAGAAAATGGGGCGTGCGGAGGCAGAAAATGGAATGCAGAGGCTGAAAATGGGGCACGCAGATGCGGCAATAGGCAAAGACAATACCTGCAGCCTGAAACAGCTGATCGTCAGGAGGCCGATCCGACCGAAAATCAATTTGTGCTAATCAGGCTATGCTGAAGCTGACTAGGCTGTTTGCTGCAAAGAGGCAAATTGCTAGGAGGCAGAGGCTGAAGGGGAGGGGGCAGCGGGGGTTAGACATTTTATAAGACACACAGACATTTCCACCCACTTTTGCGGGTGGAAAAAGTGCATCTTATATTCTGAAAAATACGGTAATTTCCAACTTCTGGCAAGGAATAGGACTTCTTCAGAAAAAAAAAAGACCACTAGGTTTGGGAGACCCTTTCTTTCCAAAAGGTAGGGAGGACTGCAGTTCTTGCATACTTACATTAATTTGTATCTTTGGCATATCAGCAGATTTTCCAGTTTCTGCAGTGATCGCTGTATTAAGAGTTATGTTTTGGGGGATTTGTCCATTGGCATGAAAGCTACCTATAATAATACAACAAAGAAGAAAGAGGAGGTTTGTTTGCTTTTGCTACTAAAAATAATTAAACAAAAATAATCTTATTCAGTATCATCAGTAAGAATTGAGATTGGCAAGGCAGGAACCAGCAAACTCAGGGAGAATCATGCTGCAAAAACATATTTCAAATACTTTTCTAGGCCATCAAGTATCTGTTAACTTGGAAGAAACAGAGAAAAAGGCCTGACGTACAGATTTAATTTTTTTGCATTATTTTGGACAATCAACCCTTGTTCAGACTTCTATTGAACCCTGCTGTGAAGACAATATGTACTCTTTCCATCTCATTAAAATAGCGTATAAATTGGTGGCGGAGGATGAATATTGTTTATAATTTCCAAAAGGAGCATGGACATCAAGTCACCCTTATGACAAACTGGATCAAAGGAAAACATGTACTTCTGTGTACAATCTTTAAGAGCTTAGTAGGTTAGGAAAATGATCTGTTATTCACCCGTTTAAGTCAAGGATATTTAAAAACCGAATCTTTGAGAAAAGCAGTTCTTGCACTGGAATATCAATTCAGTGTAATAAATGAGAGAACAAAATATAGTTGCTTTAAAAGAAATATGATGCAGAAAGTTTTGACTGATGTGGAAGGCAGTTTCAAACTCTTTGCTATGCTGCTTTCGGCTGTTCCTGAAACCAATTTAGCAATCCTACGCTCGATTGTAGTGTTCTGGCAATAAGCCTGAGCTAATGAAATACAGAAAACTGACAGCAAAAAGAGACCCAGTGGGTCTATCAAGTCCAACATGGCTATCATAGTACTTGATTGCTTGATTCTCTTCCCATACAGGGAACCATAGCACTTGCCAACACAACGTTTAGGGCAGGAGTCTGCAACCTGCAGCTCTGGAGCCACATGTGGCTCTTTCAGCCCTGTACTGCATCTCCCTGTCTGATCCCACCACTGGCTTGCCTCTCTCCTCCTCTCCCTGTCACTCCTCACCTGGCCTGGGAAGGTAAGGTTGATGGCGGGGGATGGAGACTCGCTCCATATTCCAGAGCAAGAGTTGACTGGGTGGGAATGAGTGACCTCGAGTTGGCCACACCCACCCAGTCACACCGGTTATTAAATTATTGGCTTACAGTGTTTTCTTTTCTGTGGGAAATGGGTCAAAATGGGTGTTTTAGGTTGCAGACCCCTGGTTTAGGGATTATTCCTTCCTTACCGACTGGTAACATGTATTTTTTTTCTCTTTTCCATCCTAATTGTAGCATCACTGCTCTGGGTGCTACAGTGATAAAAAAGAACAGGTGTTCCTTTATTCCTAAATTTTGCTGCAAGTTGATAGAAACTCTGTAGCAATGAAGAATCAGATTAATAGAACAAGAGAAGTAGAACTCCTTCAAATTCGATAGCTATGTTCTGTGCCTATATGTTTTTAAAAAGAGAAAGGAAACCAGTGCAAGAGATAAGGCACGAGGTAGGAAATAAGGCAGAGCATGCTTCCTCTGGACTGGGAAAAAACTGTAATGATGGTCACTGAGAAAGGTAAAAGTACTACAGGTGTGTTCTGGCATAAGATGTAAGGAAAGTGGCAGGAGAATCAGTCTTTATGGTCACCGTTAGATCAACTGGAAGGAAAAAAAACAAGCTGACCAGTAGAGGATACAGCAGCCCAACACGAAGTAGCTTTGGAGTCAGTGACCTGTCATTGGAAGGGAATAGGATACGAAGCATTATAGCTCATCAAAGCTGAGGATGTCCTAGACTGGAATAAAGCCTGGCAAATAAACTGCTCAAAAGGGCTTAAAAATGGCTCAGGACAGAAGACAGCAGAGCTTCCAAACATGACTGCAGGGATGCGTTAGAAAAGGGTAGGATAGAATGTGGAAGATGACATCAACCAATGCGGTTCTCAGCAAATGGTGAGTGGCTGCCCTGGCAATGGATCAAGAAGACATTGCAAATCTGGCCTGAATTGTGGTTAGGACTGAACAAGAAGAACACCTTGGCAAGCTAATTGAGACCATGTTATGTGGACAAATAAAGAATTTTCTCCATTGGCAATAGCACTTAAGACTTATATATCACTTCACCGCGCTTTACAGCTCTCTCTAAGTGGTTTACAGAGTCAGCCTATTGCCCCCAACAATCTGGATCCTCCTTTTACCAACCTCGGAAGGATGGAAGGCTGAGTCAACCTTGAGCCTGGTGGGGTTCAAACTGCTGAACTTAACTCTAAACGGAGAGGTCATTTACAAAGAAACAAATTAGTGGGCCTAGCAGGATATTTTAGGATGGAGAAGCAACCATTTCTGTATGTGCAAAATGTAAAGTTTTACATTAAACCATATTTATAAGTCTTGTAACAATCCCAGTGCTATTATCTGCTCCTGTAGGAGAGATCCAGTAATAGTTGCCTAATGGAACTTTTTTCTTTTACCATTTTGCCCTCCTTTAAACTTTGGCTGCAGAACTGTTATTCACATCAGTGCTCATTAATAAATGAACCTCTGTTCACTTGGGATAAATTTTTCAGGTTCACATCAAGTAGATACCATTGACTTTATTGTCCTGCTGCAAAATGTAATATGTTCAACTATTAAAAATTCACATCCTACAATGATCAAATAGGTTAAGACAATGATGAGCGATTGGCAAGATGGTAGGGAAAAAACCCGGAGCTTATAATCCTCACAATAATTTCTTTAAAAAAATAAATAATTTGGATACCTTTTGAAGATGATCCCCCAGAAGCTATGGATTTAGTAATTCCTGGCTTTGCCAGACGAGAAGTTAACTTTTGTACTGCACCAATGTAGTTATCATACAAGGCCTTTCCATACTGAAAAATAAGTACCACAAATATCTGATAGATTTTCCATCATAAAAAAAATGAACATGCATTTCTCTGCTTGTTCCATCAAATCTTAACAGAAATTCTTCTTCAGTGGTTCACTTGAAATCTCTTCCATAAAAACTATGAACTAGTAAATAGGACTGTAAACCAATAGGGTAAAAGCCTATTATTTGTTTGACAAAGTAATTTATCATCCCAATACAAATTCTGTTCTATGTATTCTATGGTCATGTTTATTCACTAGAGTTTTATCCCTCAGAAGAGGATTAATGCCTTTTTATTTTCATCATTCCATTTATTTTCTCCTTTACTACTGAAAAATATCCTTTTTCTTCTTACCTTTGCAATTCTGATACCAGTTACCCAAAGATGTAGAGACTCCTTGTCATCACAGCACAGGTATTTGATGTACTGTGACTCCTTCTGTATTTGAGGATGCTATAAATGATAATAGCAATAGTAGTTTTTTAATCATTAAAAATCTGCTGAAATAACCCAATAGACAAGCCAACTTCCCAACAAAGTTTCTTGTCTATCACTACATCTTAGCTACTTTGAACTACAAAACCACTGAGAAACCACAGAGAAGAAAACAGTATTTTTCATCAATCCTTCCAAAAGATTAATGGTACACAACTGAGAGTTACATGATTGTTAACTGGTATTTAAAGATCTGTAGTCAAACTTGGCGTTTTAAAAAATTATTCACTTTCCACCTCGTCTTCTTTTTTGTCATAGCCGTTTTAGACTGCAAGTTTGCAAGCCAGGGCTATCTTTATTTTTAACTGATTACAAAGGAATTGGCATAAATGTGCTTTAAATACTGATATGTCAAATTAAAGGAAACTAATTGGATGTGCATCTGTAAATAAATTAGACAAAGCCATATTTCAGAACATCACAGATTATAAATATTTATGCTCTATTCAAAGGAAATTTGACTTGAAACATCTTATAATATTATTTAGCTAAAAGTAATTTTAAGCACATGAGAATTCTGAAGTTAAACCTAACATGTGAACAGTTCTTAATTGTCATCTGGAAGTAATTAAAACAGGAAGACAAATTTACTATCTGCATTTTCCAAAACCAAACAATTTTTCTTCCTTTCCTGCTTATTTTTTCTCCCTCATTTTACCTTTCCATCACCTTAGGACCTGAGGACAACACATACTCACATTTATTCAAGACCATGAGCAGGATGTTAGGTTTCATCACTCAAACTCCCAGGATTAAGTTACATGTCAAATTAAATCTATGTGATTATTGACAAGTATCAACAATGCAAAGCAGTCTGTAAATCTTTTCTTTTATGTACACTGAGAGCATTTGCACCAAGACAAATTCCTTGTGTGTCCAATTACACTTGGCCAATAAAGAATTCTATTCTATTCTAAAATTTTCTTTTCACACGGATGTACAAACACTAGTCCAATCTATTAACTAAATAATCTTGAGCTAGAATGTCTTAAAAAAAGAGCTAACAGTTTTGCAATAACATGATAAATCCAGCAGATGGCATCAGATACTTTTCTATTTTTAAATGTTTACTTTTGCTACTTTGATCTCTGTATCACAATAAAAAATAGCTTTATTGCATCTTAAAGGCCAACATATTTATTAGACATAAGCTTTTGTGGAGTAGAATCAATTCATCATGAAATGAACTGGCAGAAATATATACAGAAATACGGAAGCAAAAGATTATACATTTTCTTATAATGTTTATCTTTTTATATTTCATTTTCTGAATAATATTAATAGCTTCATCACGCATCTTTATTTTTTTTAAAAAAAATAAAGATAAACTATTCCTTTTCTATCACTTAAACCCATCTCAAGAAGATGTTTTTCTCTCTCAGAAAAAGAGATGTGTTGAGGGGCAAGGCCTGACATGATTTTGTTAAATTTGTGAGTAATATTTGATTCTCACATACCGCAATTCAACAGAGCCTTAAATGCTCCAATAAATTCATTTTTGCATTTTACCTTTAATTAAAATACTTTTAATTTGTGATAGGAAGGGAGAGCTATTTCATAAATTCAAAATGGAACTGTATATAAATTATCTTAATCATAATTTGTTGGGGTGACATCGTACGCTGGACAAAATCTTGGGGAGCAAGAATACTGGGCAAATACCATCTCAAGTAATAGCTTCTTGGTTATAATTCTCAAATTAGGGAATAAACACTGGGAAATCATTTTACTGCAGCAGAAAAACCAAAAATTGAGGCTGCTTTATAATTTCATGTGAATCTTGGTGGGAGGACAGATGTGGAAAGAAAGCAGGGCATGCAGGCGGTTTCTCTGTGATTATGTCAACTTCAATGACCTCACCACTGGGAGTAAAATAAAATAAAATTAAGTGCCAGGAAGTGACCCACTCCTGGCCACCTTAACAGAATAATGGAGTAACAAAGTTGGAACAGACCTTGGAGGTCTTTTAGTCCAACTTCCTGCCCAAGAAGGAGACCCTGTACCATTTCAGACAAATAGCTGTCCAATTTCTATTTTAAAATCTCCAATGATGGAGCAGCCACAATTTTTGGAGGCAAGCCCCTCTACTGATTAATTATTCTCATTGTCTGGAATTTTCTCCTTCTTTCTAGGTTGCTTCTCTCCTTGATTAGCTTCCAACCATTGCTTCTTATCTTGTCTTCTGGTGCTTTGGAAAATATGTTGAATCCACTTTCTTATAGCAGCCCCCCAATAGAGGAACACTGCTATCATGTCTCCCCTAGTCCTTCTTTTCACTGGACTAGATATACCCATTTCCTGTAACCGTTTTTCATATATTTTAGCCTCCGGTCCCCTAATCATCTTTGTTGCTCTTCTCTGTACTCTAGTCTCAACATCTATTTTATATCGTGGAAACCAAAATTGGATGCAATATTCCAGGTGTGATCTTATCAAGGCAACTTTTGAAGGAGCTAAGAGACAGCCCAAATCAGATGCACTGTTTTTAACCATGATAGACTGTCAGGAGATGGGAGTTACAGTACGAGAATGGGTCAGCTGTATAATACAAACACCACTATTATGCTTCCATACAATGCTTGAAGATGCTATGATCACTAAGTATGTCAGGTCCTTTTCCTTTATCATACTTGCTTTAGAAAGACTAGAAAGTGGCTAAAAGTAGCTTTTAAAGATTATTAAATGGCTTTTCATGTTTTTTAAATTAATGAATAAAAAAGGCATTTAATAAAATCTGTTTGTCTGACAAGTGCTACCAGAATTATTTTTAACTGTTTTTAATAGTCTATCATATGGTTATATTTTTATTATGCTATTTTCAACGACTCAGACAAGGGAGGCACCAAAACAAATCCCAGATATCTTTTCCATTTTATTTCAGGGAAAGCCGCAAATGCTATTAGTAAACAAGCAATGTTGCTACCCACACTGTTGTTAAAGAACCGCAACCCAATTTGAGAAAGAGCAAAGTCTGAAAGAATTAGGAAAATGAACTGCATGGGCTCTGAAGAGAAGTACTAAGCAATGGAAGTGGGATAAGAGGACGCTATTGTGCCAGTTTTCTCCCAGGGTACCAATTCTTTCACCCTAGATTAATTCCACATTATGCACCATTACTCTCAGGTTACTCAAGCAAAACTTGTGCCAATAAAGCATAATTAAATTCTCCTGGCATCCAAGAGACACAACAGACTGACTAAATGAGCCAATTTACATATAGATTACCTTACTACCACCAGCTGTGAAGATTTTTTTAAAAAAAATCAGAAGCAAAGACTTTATGTTGTTGGCTTTTCAAATTTTCTGAAGAAATACTACACAACATAGTGTAGTAGAACCTGAATTTGAACTATAAGCAAATGCTATTGACAAAATTTTATCTTTTGAGTTTGAGTAGTCTTTTCTCATTTAAACCAGGATTAAAAATTCTTTGATTATTCATTAGCACCAATAAAATAATGGCGGCTGAACACATTTTTGTATATTTCAAAAAGAATTATGGTTTTTAATTTATTTCACTAGATCTGACACTCTTAAATAGTTGGCAGGATTGAGCATTTCATAAGGCCGACCCCTGTCATTTGGCTACCCACAATACGGAAAATATAGCTTTCCTTGTTGAAAGCATTTTACACCTTTCTGATAACTCCCAAGATATGGAATGAAGCAAACCATAATCTTAGCAAAAGGTAAATGTAATTTCTGAAAATCAAAAGGAAAATTACTTAAATAACTCTGAACAGCAAATGAAAAAGATTTCTTTTGATGCTCTTTTTAAAAGCAGGGAATAGGTAACAATTGCAGCCTCACAGGAATCATATTCAGGGATGTAATGATAAAGACCTTTTCCCATGTATTTGCGCCAATCAGTCCCTAAAAGGACAAAATACTTAAAGGATTCTCTCCTTCCAATCTTAAAACTGGGAAGTTCATGATAAGACCTCAGACAAATGGCCTGTAGATTAAACAGCCATCTAGATTAAAGATTAAAACTAAGAATTTAAAACCATGGTAGAAAACATGGCTGCTTATGAGCACAAGGGATGTTCAGGTGTTTATCAACTTCAATAACTTTAAGATGTGTGGACTTCCTCTCCCAGGATTCCCCAATCACCATGACATTGATAAATATTGTTCTAGATGATTCAGTTTCAGCAACCCTTTTTGTAAGCAAATGTTTACATACATCAGCTACATTCATATATCCCCTTCCGTAAAAATCCAATTTACATAGCTCAGGGCTTACATTTCTTACCGGCTACCCAAAGAGCATGTAACTATTATGATCAGTAACTACTAATGCTGTTCCACGCATGAATTATTTCTGACACTATCAAAGTTATTGGTTATTAAGCACATCTTAGAAAAGTAACTGCTGCTGTGTAACTAAGCATGTAGGGTATAGCTCTCTTGGCTTATCACTGTTACCTAGAATTATTTCGTAATATTTGGTTTAAATATGGTGAGCAAAAGAGAAGGAGAAAATCCTTGCCCTTTTCTCCATACGTATCCAAGTTTTATATCCAGGTGTGGGATGCAAATATTTTTACTACCGATTCTTGGGTGAGGCTAGGTGGGCATGGCCATTTGACTGGGTTGGCATGGCTTTTTTTGCAGCATCCCCCCCTGCATTAAAAGATCCCCTCTAAATGACCATTAATTTGTGTGTGAATGCACTCAGTGAAGATGAACCCACCAGCTCTTGAATAATTTGTTCTGCTGCCATTTTCATTCTTTTCCTAATGAACCCTGACATGGAATCTACTTTTTCACAGCTGCCACACACATGGATTACACTTCCACTGAACTGTCCATCACAACCCCCAGAGTAGATTGTTTGCTCCACCGTGCTTGAATGATATGCCAAAATATGGTTCATTCACTCAATTTGGAAAATGTATTACTTTTTATCTTTCACTACTCTGCACACTTGACAATGTCACTACCAATAGATGATTTACGAATGAGCCAGCAGTGATCATAACACAAACCCATTTTTTAAAATTATAATAATCTCCTTGTCAAACCCTTATGTGGCTACCGAAAATAGTTCTGAAAAATTAGACAGTGCATTTTTGCAGTAAAATGCAAATTTATGTACCCATTTATCTGGGAATGAGCCTTATCTATACATATAGTCGTAACAGTCAAAAGGTGGACCCAATGGTGTGATCGACACTCTGCTTTTTATTAGTGTGTGTTAAACATAAAAATGGCTGGAGTTTTGATTGCCCCATTGTGGCTGCCATCTTTTTTTTTACTATTCTCTCCAGATACCCCTCTACCTTATTAAACGCAGCAAGGAATATTTTTGAATAGACATTATATGAATGCATGATCAACATATGAAACTCAGTACACAATATACAATACAGTAAAGAGTGCATGTTACATAATACATACCTTTAGGACAAAACAATAATCAGTAGGGGACTTATACTTCGTTTTGTATTGCACACCATGATAAACATTTACGTTGTCAAACTGTATGAAACAAGCCAAGTCTCGGGATGTCTAAAAAAATTTAAAACACAATCTTTAGTTATTTGAATAATTGTCTATGTATTCAAAAGAAGGCCACCTCTTCCGTGTTGGGTAACTTTCTTGATCTGAGAATTAATGGCAATGCAACTTTTGTAACACATTATAAGTTTAGGAGTAATGGGGAAGATGTGTAGCATTATTCTTCAGAGGACTTGATGGAAATGATTCACCTACCTTTTGCAAAAATAAATCCACAAAAATATTACAATTTTGTTTAAGAAAGATGCAATGAATTCATAAGGAAGAGGAGACTTTTCAGTAATGCATGCCGAAAGCTTATTTGTACATAGGTGAAAACTTCATCTGTCATTCTGTGCCAATTTGTACTCCTGCCAAACAGAGTTTCTACTATCAGAAAATGCACATTGGCTGTTTTTAATGGGTTGCCATGGCAACAAAGTTTCCCAGTGAAGGATCTGTGGATGAAGTGCCAATCTGAATGGAAATAAAACAGTGCCTAAAGTCTTCCTGGCTCAAGTACATATACAGGTATTCCTTAACTTACGATCACAATTGAGTCTAAAATTTCTTTCTTTCTTTTTTTTTTTTGTAAATTTTATTTGAGTTTTCACAAAAAAGATACAAATAAAATATCTTTTTTGAAAATAGCGTAATCCCGGGTTACATTTCTTCGTACAGACACAAATTCAATTTCATGCTCATTTTTATGTTCTATTCCATATCTTATTACTGTTTTACATTTTCTGCATAGCTTCTCCCCTCTTTTAATTTTCTCAATTTTATTTTAATTATCTCATCTCAATTCAAATCATTATATTTATATTTTTCGTCTGTCCTGTTTCAATTATCTATTATCTTTTCTCATTAAACAAAGTTTCTTCTGTAGTTACTAATTGGAGTATGACGCCTTTATATCTTTTAAGTTTATCCATTTAACTCTTATTTAGGCTTCAATATATACCCTAAAGTTATAACCTTCAATATAATACATAACTTCCATTCGGATTCTGCTTGGTAATTAAAACAACACATTCCATTCCAATTCAATTCTATCATTAATATTAATATTCATTAAAATCTTAACTTCTTTAACATTACTTTTCAATTAAATATCATACTTCTATGGGAATTATAAGCTTTCCATAAGCTTTCCCCCCCTTCACTTATATTTTATAAAACATTAACTAATTAAAATGTTCCCATCCCTTCCTAATTCAATTTTCTCATTTATTTTATTTCACTTATTTTATTAACAAACATTTCATTAAATTACACTAACTATTTTATCCCTCATTTTAATCATACATTGTTTCCAAAGTTATTTCTATTACTAATATAACAATACAATCTTATGTACCTTTACAGAATCCCTTTTTCAGTTAAATTTTCACCCATTATCTCTAAATAGGTCCTGTTTCTCTACATCTTGTTCCGGTCCTTTGTAACTTCTTTTCCTTCCCTCTCTTCTTCTCTCTCCCCTTTTTACCCTCTTGTCTCTCTACCTCCATTTCTCTCTTCTGTATTCCCCACTTCTGTTGCTTTCCAGTATTATACTTATTTTTCGAATTATTTTTCTTTTCTTTGGTTATTTTTTTAAGTCTTAAATTCTCCATTCTCTTTCCCCCCTTTCCTTTTTCTTCCCCACATAAAATTGCTTGTTCATTAAAGATGGCTTCTTCTTTGTCCCAGTCTTGTTTTGCAGACATTTCTTGTTGTTTCTCATAGTTCCAAATCTCCATTTCTAAGAATTGAAAAATGAAGCCAAAAGAACCCTTCCCTTCTTGTGCATCTTCTTTATACTTTTTAAGTTCCATTTTCAATTCATCCAGAAGTAGTGCCATTGTATAAATTTTTAAACAACCACCCGATTAATTTTAGTCATTCAAATGCAATCACCAAAAATCCAAAGATCATCAAGTAATCCAAATGCAAGCTGTTTCTTTTTGCTCTTTTTTTTCACTTTCTCTTCCTGGGGTTCTACTGTTTAGTTACAAAGTTTCAGTTAAAATGTATCTTTTAGAAGTCTTGTTGAAGTTTTACTGTAGATTCTTTTTAATTCCAGGCAGTCTCCTCCCTCTTTCCAGATCCTGCCTTTTTATTCTTTTTCTCTCCCTTCCTGCTTATGAAAAAAAAAAAATTGTGTCCAGAAATCTTTATTATCCCTTTGACATTTTGTTTTATTTTCAGCTTAATTGTCTGTTGATGTCAAAGCAGATTTTTCCGATTTCTTATTTAAGTCTCTTAGTTGTCAGTATAGGGAAAGGGAGAGAAGAAAAAAACCCCCAAACCTTTCTCTTTTCAGTTTCCTTTGCTGCTTCCGACTCTTCTTTGGGAGCGATGTTATTTTTTTGTAAGTTTAAATTCCAGGATACCTTAGTTGTTGCTTTTGCAATTTAACCCGGTCAGCCAAAACTTTCACTTCTTATCTTCCTCCTGCACATTCTTTTCTGGTCGAGTTCTTCTTTGAGGTGGCCATTTCTGACCACCGCTGCAACCGCCTTCGGGAAAGGGAGTAATGGCCAGCTGGGGAGGAGAGATGCGGCTCTCCTCAACCCTGCTGGCAGCCTCCCCCCTCTTCACCACCTCTACAGGGTGGCTTAGCCCCGAAACCAGCCGGCTCGGGGCGCTCCAGTGGCAAACCCGGACCGAAACCGCGCACGATCGCGGATTTCTGTCTGTCGCCGAAGGAACTCAAACCGTAAGCCGAGTCCAAAATTTCTGTGGTTAAGTGAGAAATGTGTTAAGTGAGCTTTGCTCCCTTTTACGACCTCTCTTACCACAGCTGCTAAGTGAATCATTGCAATTGTTCCATTAGTCACAAGGTTGTTAAGTGACTCTGGTTTTTCCATTGACATTGCTTGTCAGAAGGTCACAAAAGGGGATAGTCATAATAGTCATAAATATGAGTCAGTAGCCAAGTGTCTTAATTTTGATCACATGACCATGGAGATGCTTCAATGGCCATAAGGGTGAAAACCAGTCACAAGTCACATTTTTTAATGCCATAAAAATTTGAACGATCACTAAGTAAGTCAAGGACTACCTGTAATTTTTTTTTTAATACTAGAAGCTTTTCAGCACTTAGTGTCAGCTTTGGAAGCCATATTAGCACCAGATGCTTCTACACTGCCACATTCTTGAACCTGGGAAAATGAGAGAGGGGGATTTCTTGGCATGTACATGGTTAAGACATAATAGCATTCTTCTTCTAAGTCAAGGTCATGTTATTTCTGCATCTGGTTGAGGAGTGATTAAGGGGATGTCTCAAGTTGGGACAGATGGTGATTGGGGCATTTGATGCAATGAGGGTGCAGGGGGTGGATTTGCAATATTTTACTTATTGAAGGAAACCAGGAACTTTCAGATTCGGGATTTCCCAAATGTGCCAGTTTACTACTCTAATAAAAGGAACCTTTGAGAAGATGTCTGTCTTGGAGTTTGTTTTATTATTTATTTATTTATTTATTTATTTATTTATTTTTTATTTATTTTTTATTTATGTATTTATTTATTTATGTCTGTCAAGCGATAACAGGTATACGTATAAACATAGTTATGAATACATGAAATGGACACATATAAGAAAAATAAAAAGATAAAAAGAAACAATAGGACAGGGATGGTAGGCACGTTGGTGTGCTTATGCACGCCCCCTACAGACCTCTTAGGAAAGGGGTGAGGTCAATAGTAGACAGTCTAAGGTTAAAGTTTTTGGGGTTTGGGGAAGAAACCACAGAGTCAGGTAGAGTATTCCAGACATTGACCACTCTGTTGCTGAAGTCGTATTTCCTGCAATCAAGTTTGGTGCGATTAACCTTGAGTTTGTATCTGTTGTGTGCTCTTGTATTGTTATGGTTGAAGCTGAAGTATTCGTTGACAGGTAGGACATTGCAATGTGTGATTTTATATACTGTACTTAGATCGGACCGAAGGCAGCGTAGTTCTAGGTTTTCTAGGTCTAGAATTTCAAGTCTGGTGGCATAAGGTATTCTGCAAGAGTAGAGGAGTGGACAACTCTTGTGAAATATTTCTGGACTTTCTCAACTGTGTTAATATCAGATATGTAATGAGTTATTGGTTGGAGTTGAGGTTTTCTGGAATGCTGACACTTAGTTCACAAGAACAGCTGAGAAAGGGATCTTTCCTAGGCAGATACCGTTAAAAAAAAAGTGAGAATCCATCTGACTTAGCGCTTTCAAAATTAAAAACTGCAGGGGTACCCACAGGCCAGACAAAAAAACTCAAAGGGGAAAAAGAAAGAATGATTGTGAGAGTCATTTTGATGTGTTTGATCCCGGGTTAAGGACATTGCTGTGGCCAACTGGGGATTGGGGAGGGGGGGAAACCACTCAGAAAAAATATGCACCTGTGTTAAATAGAATCCAGAATGGTTTCTGAAAGGATCTCTAGAAAAAAGGAGGAGCTAAACAGAAGCAGCACCTGGGCGAATTCTCTCCTTGCCCATGCCCAAACAATGGCAGCTTTCTTATCTGCAGTTTGGCATGAAAAGCTATGCCAGTTTATTTTACTTCTCTTTCTTTAAAATTAAGCAAAAATGATTATATTATTTTGCAGTGGATGACCAAATGCAGTTTAGAGATGTTATTTCTTTTCCTGACTGAAATTTTTATGAATGCAATTCATTATTATTGAAAAACAAAAAAAAAAGTAGTCTATAAAGGGAATGAGTTCAAAGGAATTCTGCCACCCATTCTCCATATTTGCCCAAACAGCATCTCTCAGAGGCACGTCCTCAACAGTTACCAGGATGCTGCATTGTCTTCCCTTTTACAAATTGCTTTAATGTTTCAAAACATTTTTTGACATGCCTGACCTTGGTCTTTCCTTTGGGGACATAATAAATGCCTGAAGCTCGTAGAAGAAAGTATCGCCTTTTCCAGGACTTCTTTCCATCTTCTTTTAAATAAAGGGCACCTTCAACTTCTGGCACAGCAACAGATGTACCACAGAAGCTTTCCTGCAGAGGGAAAAAATGGTGAGATAGAGCAGCAAGTGAATAAGCCAAGTGTCTTACAACATGGCTTGTTCAGTTGTGCTTCCAAAAGCCTGAGTCTCCATTCATCCCATCAGCTTTGATCTTTCTTTTACCACCATCAAAAATAGGGCAATGCTTGATCCCCTGTACATGGGAATAACTTCCTTGAGCTCTTGAAGAGAGGCGTTGACCAATGGCTGAATTTGAGATAAAAACTTCGGGCGGCATGGCTTTAAAGTAACCCTCACAAGGCTTATACTGGTTTGGGAAGCTTCCCCAAATTTCCTGCATGAATAATTGCCAAATTGTGCAGGGTTGAGCTTCAGGGTTTGATGACCACCTTGCCTCTAAAGGTACCAGTTGCTGGCAAAACATCAGGAAATCTATTGTTTAGACCAGGTGTCAGCAACCTTAAACACTCAAAGAGCCACAAAGGTTCTAACCTGAAGCCCCCTGTTCAATTCTGGAGCTGACCGGAAGTCTGGTTCCCCCACCATAGAGTCTCCTCCTAGGACGGTGTCCTTTTTCCTCTGCCGACTGCAGGTCCGGTTTCCCAACCATAGAGTCTCCTCCTAGTGCAGCATCCTTTTTCCTCTACCTGTCCTTACCGAAACCATATCAATTGTGGAGCTGACTGGAAAACCCGCCCCTTGCCATAGAGTCTCCTCCTGGCGCACCATGCTTCCTCCCCTGCCCCAATTGGAAGCTCCTCTCAAAATTGTGGCAGCGACAGGGAGCCGCAGCAGAGGGATGAAAGAGCCACATGCGGCTCCAGAGTTGCAGGTTGCCGACCCCTGGTGAGATCACTGTACTAAATCCTGAAGCCCAAAAGAGACCAGCTATGAAAGTCTACACCAGTTTATTTGCCAAATTATTACCCATATTTTCTCAAGGAATATTTGCCAAACTTACACAGGTATCAAGGACTAAATGCTTGTCCTTCCAAAATGACCTGCAAGTTAGTGCCCTCTCTATTTCGAACCAACTCTCATCAGTTCTGATAATAATTTCTAGTATGGTAGGTACAATCTGAAACAACTGGAGGGCACCATTGTTCTATAAGAAAAACAAGGCTTCTATAGCTTACATACATCAGAGTCCAAAAGTAGCCATTCACCAGGTGGTGGAAAGTTTTCTAACACAAAGCACGCACAGACCCAAGTATTAAAAACAGCGCCATGCATTTTGGCAGTGCAAGCAGATGTACTCACCACCTTCCAAGCTCAAGCTTGAAAATAACTCCTTTAGGATTTTGAATACATGAACTTTTTCAGAGCAGTGTCATATTTAAAACACTGACAGACAGAGCTTTTAAACAAAGTTAGTAGAATTATTTATTTATTAAATGTATAAGCCTGTAAAGTTGAACATTTTAATCTTGTTAGCCTGCTTTAAATAGGAGAAAAGGTAAACAATTATTTTGGACAGCCTCACAGTAATTAATTAGTAAATGTTCCTCTTTAGTTTGGTGAAGCCAAGACAAACCTTTAGGAAGGCCTGGGTCTTCATATATATATTTGGAATGAGATGGCAAGTTTCCATGTCTTTGAATATGCCTGTCATCCCTTTAAGGTAGCCCAGGCAGGAAACCAGAACCATGAACACTAACTCTATTTGTATTGCAAGGTTACAGGAACAAATCATTGCAAGTTATGAAATCAGATCTTCTCTCCCTTGCCTTTACTTCCCAGAGAACTAGGGAGACATCTCCGAGATGCCGTTTCTGTCCCTATTCCTTCTGTGGCTGAGATATCTCTCATCGGTCCTTTGTCATGGATCTATCATAGAATCAATTTGTTCCTAAACTCACACAACAGTCAAAACTGGTTTCCATGGTCCTGTGAATCAAGTTCAAGCTTGACTCAAATGGTCAGATTTAGTTTCCTGATGTTATACATGTTGAAGATACTTGATTTTTAGAGTTTTAACATACAACTCTGAAGTCTGAACTTCCTGTTTTCGTATTGCATCAAATGGAGAACTGAAATATTTCAGTTCTATTTCAGGAACAAGGCAGCACTTAAGTTATTTTACAATCAAATGTGCAGTTTGTTAACATTAATTTACCTCCAATAATGCTTCTTTGCTTTTCTCATTCATTTCCTTGCTTTCATTTTTTCCTTTGCTTGACAAGTAGAAATTCTAATAATAAAAAAAGATGAACCAATAAAATAGCCGGTTACTACTTGAATAAGCCCTCAAATGTGACTGAGACATTATGATATTAGGTCAAAGCTGCATTTTAGTTATCTCTCTCATCAGCTGCCTATTTTAAGTACTTACAAGAAGTTTTCATTCAAATAAAAAGTTCTAAGCAGAGAGTTATCATCCAAGCTAGGCATGGTTGAGAATCTGTCTAGTCCAGCAGAGCCCCCTCTAACCAAACTGCCCTAGATATTGCTTCTCCTAGATTGGTGTTTATCCATGTGGAGTTCAGCGCCACAAATTCCCCAGCCATTATCTTAAGAGAATTTGAGAAGTTGAAGTCCACATTTCTTAAGACTTGTTAGGATTGAGAAATACTGTCCTCAATCATTGTAACAGGATTGTCTCCTTTTTTCTGCTCTGGGGCACACATCAGTTGAGAAAATCTACAATAGAAAAAAAGGCAGTTTAAGTATTCCAATTCCTGTCTCAATGGATCCAGCTTCCAATGGTGATGAAAACATTCATTTCTGGAAGAGGCTTATGGCTCTTTTAAATTGGGTCATTAGTGATGGATAAGATAATACCGAGAATCCAATGTTTACTGCATTTCCTAGGAAAAGTCTTCCTAAATTCAAGAAAATTAAAAGTCTAAAAAACACTATGAGAATCTCTTTCTGTAGTCCAGATTAGTTACAATGAAGTTTGGACAGTGAAGATATGCTATTACAGCTATTATTCCTTAGAAGTCTACCAATGCTGGGTTGTTTTTTGTTTGCATTTTGTGTAGATACCAAGTCCAATCTTCACCAGCAGCTGAAATAAGATAAGAATCTTGTGTCAACCCAGAAGTTGGCCGAATTGTGGTTGTTTTCTTTTTGTAGCTTTTCTCTAGGGACTTTTTTCTTCTCACTGCTTCAGGGCTGACACAGCCTAGAGCTAAGGGGGCAGGGAGGGGGGAATAGAGATAGCTGAGGTGCTGTGGCCAAAATAAAATTCTTTCTTTTGCGAATCAAGGACTTTGGTGCAGGTGTTCAAGAAGTGGAGGCTGAGGAATCTGCAGGGTGGGGTGGGAGTGGGGAGTGACAAAGTTTTACTTTTAACTGGGTGTAAAACCAGCAGGAACTTAGAGCCGGTTTTCCACCAAAAACATGCCAATTTGATATGTCCCAATAAAATGTTCTTTAAGGAATATGCCTGCCTCGTAGTTCTTATTGAATGGGATGTATTACTTGGAACCTTGACACTTTGCTTGTAGAATGAGCTGGGCGTCCTGGAATTTGCAGTCCTACAAAATTAAATAATTTTTTTGCTCATTTTTTTTTTCTCGTGTCCCATGTTTAACAAACATGGAAGGAGAAATCAAGCTGGCCCAATGTGAATATTAAAATATCCCAGAAAGTGTTTATGTTTCTTATTCAATTCTTTCTTTTTGAGAAAATAGAGCACTGTAGGACTAAAATTATTTCTTCTAGGCCACCCTTCATCCATCAGTACACAGGAAAGCTGGTATGCAACGAATGAACCAGCTGGGTAGTCATTATCTGTATTTTCACTGTTGAATGACTGCACCTGGCTCTTCCTTATTAACTATATAACATCCAGCTAATTAACTGAAAAAGAACTGGATTCCCTGGCTCACTGCACTGCACTGCACAGAGACTTTGCACCAAATGATGTCTTTCCCACTAACAAAAAACACAACACCACCACCCCGTCCGTGGCATATATCCTGTCTGCAACCTTAGGATAAACCTAAAGTAAAGCTCCATTAACTGAGACACTCAAATTATGCCAACAAAAAGTAGGTTTATTTTGCTATCTTGGAAATCATTCATAACCTTAAAAAGTAGTTTGTATTGATTCATTTACTGCCATCAAGATGTTTGGAATATGTACGTTTGTTTGAAGTCCAATTACAAACCAATTACAAAAATACAGATAGAGAAAAGTGCTACGCTTAGCTAAAGGAAACTAAAAGGAAAATGACTCTGAATCAACAGCAACATCCTTCCAAAAGGATGCAAACAAATTGTCTGCCGTCATTACTGAAGTTTCACCAAATCTAAAATGCCCTTCCTATTTTAAAGTTAAGTTATTTGAAAGAAATAGTCTTTCTTTTTTCTAAATAAATATATTTTATTTCGACATATACAGGTAGTCCTCAGCTTATGACCATAATGGAACTGCCTGTAAGTCACGATAATTGTAAAGAGCATTACCCACACCAATCAACCTAATTTAATGGCAATCATTAAGGGAATCTATTGTTCACTATGAGGCGTAATTGGCAAAAAACAGAAGTATATGCCAATTTTAGGCAAAAACATAATGAATTGTGGTCATGGGATCAGAGTATGTAATGCATGCAACAGCTATAAATTCAGGCCACTTGGCGAGCGCCCAAAACGCAGCCATGTCTATAGCATACTAAATGCAATACCCTCCTAAATAAATTTAGGAGCCAAAACAGGTGTTCTGATAACCAGGCAAGACAATATTATATATCTTTGAAAATTTCTGCTCAACTTTTGCTTCTGAATTGTTCCTTAAAATCAAAATAATAAGTACCATGACATGACCTAAACCAAATCACTAGTGGACACAGTTCAGGTTCTTTGTTTATTTTTTACTGAAAAGGCACTGATATAATCATTCTAAGAGTGGTTAATCATTGATTAGAAGTACATTTTCCAAAATATGATTTTGCTGATCCATACTTTGTTTCCTCCTCACCCCCCCAAATAAACTTACTTCTAGAAAGAGATGAATCACATGAACAACAAAACATTTCAGAGAACATTTTAACATTTTATGGAAGACAGGGATTTTGTACACAATTATTTATGTCTCAAATAATTTGCTTTCAGTATCACACAAAACATCTGTGAGGTTTCTTCACTACAGCTGTTCTTCGTTATCTAAGCTGTATTATTTTTAATCATAGGCAGGCAATGTGTGAATTATTAAGAATGTGGATAAGCAATTTGTATCTTTGATTAAATTCTTATCTCTATATTACAGAAGTGAATAAATCCATATCTATTTTCTGCCCTCCACTGGTGTAGCTATAGCAGAACAGTCTTAAACTGCAATATCAGGACATTTTAAAATGATAAATGAATTTATAGGATATCCCCTAATAAATAACCAAATAACTAAATGATAAACAAAGTTGCTCTGATTGGCAGATGGTTTTGATAGATGTGTAGACCCAAAGATTTAGCTTCCCAAAGTTTGCTCTAGTCTTTACCTACCCAAGCCTGATGCCAGTTTTTATACTGCTACTAGCTTTTCTTAGACAAATTATTTTAAGAAATGTGGTTAATCTCAAAGACAATTTGTCCTGTTAGGAATTCAGAACTTATAGGGTGGTAAGTCTCAGTCATGTTACTTTACCTGAGGGTTTTTAAATACAGCATATTTTTCATTTTTCACCAAGAACAGTATTTTATTTTCACTGTCTCGAGTCCAATGGGATAAGACTTCAATCACATTTTCATGATCTTCAAAAAATCTTTCTGGGGGGGGGGAAGGGAAAAGAAAGAAATATGATTTAAAATGGCTGTCCACCTTAATATTTAGGCCTTTATATATTTTTTTTGTTAGAAACAAAGAGTAATTTCTTCAAACACAGAAACTTCCTAAAAGTATTGGTAATTTTAGTTCGCGGATAAAGAGCCTTATTTGTTTGTATGAAGTGAGCATCTGTCCGATTAGCCATTTTTCCCCTCTCTATCACATATGTATGAAAACAAAAACACACACCAGCCATTCATAGCTTTGGAACCCAACAAGCAGCACACTTCTCATTTAATACAGGCTGGGTGGCTGCATCCAGAAACTGCTCTCTGGGAAAAAAAACCATACAAATATCAGCAGATATAGCCTGATGGTTTGAAAATTACCGATTTGTAGCTCAGGGTATATTTCATAAAGGCACCAGTTTATATTGCAATCACAGTGGGTTTTTTCAAAGAGATTGTCTAAGACATCACGTGCCACTTGTCGTTCATCCACCATTAGAGACTTTGTGCTGTTATCATTCATGTGCACCTTGACAACAAGCTGGGGAGAGAATAATAGATCAGTCAGTTAATTTCAGCCTGGAAGAAAAGGCTAGAGTACTCAAAAGTCTGCCATGACTGATAAAACTGGAAGATTATTGCAGATTCGAATGCATCCTATATATCACAAATTGGACTGAGAAATATAATGCATCTCTCATTCATCACCCCATCAAGTTTGTTCTCCGCTGCCTTAACGTATGCTTTTGATTAAATAAGATTTTTAAATGAATTGTGAACTTGGCTTTGGACAATACGTTCACCAAGACCAGCGTTTAAAAGCTGGCTTTGCATCCAAATGAAATTATTTGGTCTTGACTCTCACCAAATTAATGCAATTTAGTCATTTCTAACATTTCTCTTTGATTTTAAGGGGCTCCAACCAGAGGCACAAAAAGCAGAAGGTATTTTTTATGCCATGGGATTATTATTATTTTTGCCTAAAAAAGGGCAATTTTATGCAACTGTGGTCATAATTTGGACATATATTGAAAATTCAGTAAAATTCAATGCTGGAAATTTCAGCATTATTTTTATTATGAACCGTCACTGTAAAGCTCTTTCTTTTACAATAGTCTTTTTCATAAAATCTTGCTATGTGTGTGAATGTTGACATTTGCACTTGCAAACACACACACACACATTAAGCCTTTCACGTAAGTCTGTCTTTTATCCTGCTTGTTGCAAAGGATGCTGCCTTGTTATTCCTTGATCTAAGTACTAGCAAGGTTCTGTAGTCTTATTTGATGATTTGATGAACATCATTAGGTTTGCCGGTGGAAAAAAGAATGCTCAGAGGAAGCAGCTCTACTGGTAGATAACAGTAGACATATAGAACAAGAAGAATCAGGACTGTTAGGGAATCAGAACTTAGAATAACAATTCCTTGTTAAAAACTCATTAGAATATTATGATCTCAGAAACAGAAGAAAATCAAGAAAGAACAAGCATTTGCTGTGCTTGTTTTATGTGCACCCTTTAAAAATTAAGGCAATTTAAGAAATTATGATATCCCAAAATATATCAGCTATCAGCAACTTATAACATTATTCCTCCTACAGCAATCCTGTACCCACTTTATTGGGCATAAGATCCAGATAGGAATTCCAGTCAGGGCCAAAATTGGCTGAAAGGGTTGATTGCCATATCCCAACCATTAACTGGGATTGTGGATAGGGTCTTGCTTCAGAGTAGAAATAAAATAAAGAGTTTTGCTAGATCAGACTGAACACCAACAATATGCAAATTAGTATGTTTCCATGGAGGCCAACCAGTTGAATCTGGAAAACCCACATAAGGATCCATTTATAAATGCATCCTCCTGCTTATCACTGATTTAGCCTTAATGACTTGAAGCACGGATAGCTTATCTTCCATACCTACAATTGTTTTATTTATTTATTTATTTATTTATTTATTTATTATTTATTTATTTGATTTGCCAATTGTTTACAAGATAATAAGTATAAGTGTATACATAGCTGTGAATACATGAAATGGGTACATATAAGAAAAATAAAAGAAGAATAAGAGAAACAATAGGACAGGGACGGTAGGCACGTTGGTGCGCTTATGCACGCCCCCTACAGACCTCTTAGGAAAGGGGTGAGGTCAATAGTAGACAGACTAAGGTTAAAGTTTTTGGGGTTTGGGGAAGAAACTACAGAGTCGGGTAGAGTATTCCAGACATTGACCACTCTATTGCTGAAGTCGTATTTCCTGCAATCAAGTTTGGTGCGGTTAACTTTGAGTTTGTATCTATTGTGTGCTCTTGTGTTGTTATGGTTGAAGCTGAAGTATTCATTGACAGGTAGGACATTGCAATGTATGATTTTATATACCATGCTTAAATCAGACCGAAGACGGCGTAATTCAAGGTTTTCTAGTTCTAGAATTTCAAGTCTGGTGGCATAAGGTATTCTACAACGAGTAGAGGAGTGGAGAACTCCTTTTGTCTGCAACAGGGGTGTCAAACTCGATTGCAACAGGGTTATGTTTGACCTCGGGGGGAGGGGGGACAGGAGCCATGGCCAGCTTGACATCACTCATGTCAGGGGCGCCTGTGGTGATCCAAGTGTTCTGCCAGTGAAAACGCTCCCAGGCTCAGTTTTTGGCTGTGATGGCCTCCTGAAACCCTTTGCCAGTGAAAATGGATCTCAGGAGGCCCTTGTGAGCTCTATTTCCAGCCTCCTGCAACCCACCACCAGTGAAAATGGAACTTGGGAGGATCACTCTTCCGATCTCCGTTTTCACTGGCAGAGGCACTGTGGGCTTGTCCTTCACTGTTTTCAGGACGGGTCCTGCAAGCCAGATCTAAGCACCCCACGTGCCGGATCCGTCCACAGGTCTTGAGTTTGACACCCCTACTCTACAACTAGATTTCCTTTATTATTTTCAGCAGTATGGTGGAGTATTTTTTGTAGGCATGAGTTCCTGATTTTGGGCAGTGGTGTAGGCAGATCTTCAGGACATAGGGAATGGCGTTGAAGGACAAGAAAGGAAAACTGGCTATTTGGTAAGGCAATGGTCAGGTAAGTGGGACTTGAGCCCACTCTAAAAAATTATTTTGAAAAAGAAATCCTAATTCAAATGAAGATAAAGTGAGAAAGAGAGAAGTACATTCAGACTTGCAAGGTTCGATTACAATAAAAACAATTCTGACCCATCATTTCTTGTCTAGTCTATCTTATAGGGTTAACATCAGAAAAGAAGCAGTCCAAAAATATGACCACAGCATTTAAATATCCTTTACGATATGACAAAGAATTTAATCATTTTTTTTCTGTTATAAATCTAAAAGTTACAGTTTGGATGTATTTGTAATTTGGAGTAAAGAGAACACCACTCCTGTCCCTTAAACATGGCATTTAAAAAATGGTAGTGAACAACAGGTAGTGGATAGTGGGCAGTACAGCCATAGAAATCCTACCTTTTTAACCTTGGCTTCCTTTAGTTTTTCTAATGCTAGTTTAATCTTGTCAGCTTTTGCTTGTTCTTGTGCTTCCTAGAAGATGGAAATAAATAGTAAATATATAATATGCTTGTCCATCATCATGTCATGATTTTTTTCCCCAAAAAAGTTCTTACAGCATTTTATAAAGTTTCTCTAAAACAGTATGGACTAACATATTATCCTATTTAAAAATTAACCCAAAATTAAGATTTCCCTCCCCACCCTCTTTCAAGTGTACAGTCTCATCATCTGCATCTTTTTTTGAGAGTTGTCCTTAAATGTGTTGCTCCTTTTCCTTTTATCAATCACTGTATCCTTTTATCAATCACTTTTATCAATCACTGTATCTTATAGCAAGTGTGTTCTTTCTGCGTTTATTGCTTTGCTAAGACAAAAAATGCTAAATCCAATTTTTGTCCAGGAACAAGCTTCTATTCCTTTCCCTTCTCTCCCAACAGATGGATCAATTCACGTCACTATGGTGACATCATCACTTCAGGTTTGTAGAAGGCTAGTTTTTAAAAATAAAATTGTGGGCAATAGCCTTACGACTATGGTACATTGCTATAAGACTTTTTAAAATTAGGTCTCAATGTACTCATTCTTCATCTTTCACTCATCATTCTACCATTCACTGCAACTGTAAACTGCAGAATCTTGTATATTTGAACAAGTAATTTTCTCTTCAACTTAATGTGGCAATTAATTCAGGAAACATCTTGCCTCTTCAGGATTAAAATATCAGTGAAAATATCATTGTATTGACCATTCTCATTTATCCTCATTGTAGTTTTCAGCAATCACTGAAAGTAAAGCTTTCATCTTCCATAGAATAATCACTGGCCTGTTCCACATAAGATTTTCTCAGCCTGAATTATTTGTTAGATTTATATCCTGCCATACATCTAGGAGCTTAAGCCCACAAACATTACAGTCTTTCCTCAACCTTTTTGACTAGCAAAGCTTCCAAAATTGTACTAAGATTAATAATCTTCCAGAACAAATATTACAAAAGTTAGATGTTCTTCTAATGCATCAGAAACTGACATTTGATAATTCAGTTTATCTCATGCTGGTGTGCAAAGTTTGAGAATATTAAGATAAAAACTTATTTAGGGATCCTCTGGTTGCTAACCTGAGTGAGTGGCTTCGGAGGAATGGCTAGAGGCGGTGGCAATGGCTTTAGCATTTCTGCAGGAGGGGCTGGTAACTTATTCATACCAGGTGGAGGAATATTACTCAGCAATGATTGAGTTCCACAAATAGGCTGCACTATGGCACCTTGTTCATTGTAAGAGGTATTCTTTGGTTCTTGTAATGTTGTCTTTTCTACTTCACTGATGTCTGCTATAAGATCAGCCATTAAAGTATCTAAATCAGTATCTTCCAATGTATTCAAGGACTCTGTTACAAAAAAAGATAAACATATCAGAGATCTTCTCCAATGTTATGAAGGAACAGTACTTCCATATATATCATTAGATGGTTTTCCAGACAGCTACAGGCAACACATATAGACTCAACAGTTCTTGGGATTCTTCTGAAGTAAAGAAACACCCTTTCATTAGGTGATTTATCACATTTGAAAATATGCTAGAAAAACCTGCACATGCCTCCTCTTATAAGAAAGCATCCCTACTCTTTTTTTTTTCTGATGGATTGTCTACAAGTTTATAATTCCCAACATGAATTATTATTCCTAATTGAAACAGTAATGATTAAGTTGGAAAATGTATTTCAAAATTAAGGTTTAATTTACTTTACTTTGTTGTCATTGCACCTCATACAATGAAATTAAATACCATCTTCAGTGTACATTATGACTGAAAATAAACACAAACGCACATCCCTCAGACTCCACACATTGAATTGAAAACTCATGATATCGCATTAATATTGCACTATACAGCAGAATTCAAAAGAGCTGCTGCCCTGGGATAGAAAGCTGTTTTTCAGCCTATTTGTCCTTGTTTTTATTATCCTGTACCATCTGCCAGATGGCAATAGTTAAAAAAAAAAAGGGTGCCCAGGATGAGATGGATCTTTGAGAGTTTTGAACTTTCTTAAGGCAGCAGGAGCTATAAAGCTCTTCCAAAGAGGGGAGAGGGCAACCAATGATCTTCTGGGCAATTAATCCTCTGGAGTGGGTTATTTTAGGTTTGATATTTGGCAAAGTACGAGGTAAGCTCTGTGCAGTTTTGCATTACCTTACATTTTAGAAAATAATTTGGTACTGAGATGGCTCAAAAATAGATCACATTTTTTCTTCCCTTCCTTCGCTTAGCATTTCGCCTGATTATAGGTCTTAGAAAGCTTGCAAATATATTGAAAAAAAATTCTATTATTCTTCAGCTGTATTTTATCTTTTTATAGTGAATGAATGTCCTAATTAAATCAAGAGAAAATTTGGGGAAACATTCTGAAACTTTAATTTTTATAATGTCAGCCTCCTATATTTATCTTTTGAAAATGAGATAGACCCTCTCTCTTTATAATTTACATAAATGACCTTTGCAATCATATTAAAAACAACTGTGTCCTCTTCGCTGATGACGTAAAACTATTTAACACCACTGACAATACAGCTGCCCTACAAAGTGACCTTGACTATGTGTCAGAATGGTCGAACAATTGGCAACTTCAAATCTCAACCAATAAATGTTCTGTCTTACACATTGGCAACAAAAATCAGAACAACTAAATACAAACTGGGCGGATATGGCCTCGTAGATGACCCTCACTCTGTCAAGGACCTATGAATACTCATTTCAAAAGACCTAAGCCCCAGAGCTCACTGTAACAGCATTGCCAAAATGGCATTAAGATTTGTTAACCTAATTTTGCAAAGTTTCTTCTCCGGTAACATTGAACTGAAAACCAGAGCATAAAAAATATTCGCCAGACCAATTCTCGAATACAGCTCATCTGCTTGGAATCCACACAATATAACGGACATTAATACAAGAGACCAGAGGTATATCACGAGAAGAGTACTCCACTCCTCTGTTCGCAGTAGAATACCTTATGCCACCAGGCTTTAAATTTTGGACCTAGACAACTTAGAACTACACCATGGCTGACCTAAGCTTAGCACACAAAATTGTCTGCTACAGCATCCCACCTGTCAATGACTACTTCAGCTTCAACCACAATAACACACGGGCAAACAATAGATACAAACTCAAAGTAAACTGCTCCAAACTCAAATGCTGAAAATACGACTTCAGCAACAGAGTGGTCAATGCTGGAATACTCTACCTCAGTGGTTCTTAACCTGGGCAATATCGCCTCCCAGGGGGCGATTTTGGTTTTCAGGGGGGCAAAGGAACAAAAAGGGGCGACGCGGGGGTGAAGGAACGGAAGGGGGGTGATATGGGGGCGATGGAGCAAGAAGTTTTGGGGACACTTTTGATACTTTTTTTGTACAGTGAACTGCTGTATATGTCGTACAAAAACATCAGATCGCTCGCTATTAGTTGATTGAACTGTTTTAAAATGTTCCTCCAGCTAGCTTCAGTACAGAATGCTGTACATATGTGAATACGCATCACTCATCTTCATGCACATTGCGCAGCAGCCTCTATCACTCTACCCATTAAATTTGTCGCTCTGATTTTTGTTGCTTTCCTTCTGTAAAAACTTTGTGTCTTTTTAACCCTTTTTACAGTGTGCATGAATATATATTTTCCTCGAATCTTAATTTAGTTTCAGAGTTTTCGTCTTAAAATTCTTAGTTCCTGCATTGCGGTTTGTTCTTATGCCCTTTTTATATATATTTTTTGCGTCTTAAAATTCACTTGTAATTAAATCATTAAATGTTATTTTTTTTCTGGGCATTTCATTTTCTTGCAACTGAATTTTGTTTTCAGTGGTCATTGCATTTAAGTGTCTTGAATAAACAAGATAATAATGAAATACATGTATCACGAAGTTTGGGAGTAAAGTGATGGGTGGGATCACAATTTTTCACACCATTGAGATATGGGAAAAAGACTGGAAATAAATTATTTGCATCGGTATGTCCTGATGCCAATTTTAAAGAAAACAAAAAACGTGTTTGCATAAATTGAAGAATTATTTCCCTGTGTTGTGATTGAGAGGTTATGTTGGGGGAGTGGGGCAATGATAACTTCCTCAATGGCTCAAGGGGGCGATTCTTTCAAAAAGGTTAAGAACCACTGCTCTACCTGACTCTGTCTCTTCCTCAAACCCCCAAAACTTTAACCTTAGACTGTCTACTGTGGACCTCACTCCAAGCCTAAGAGGACTGTAATGGGATGAGCATAAGTGCACCAGCGTACCCACTGTCCCTGTCCTACCGTTCCCATTTATTTATACACATTTATTACGTATATATTTATAGCAGTTTATACTTATATATTTATCTGTTATGTTCATACTTATACTTGTTTTCTCATGTTTGATGAACTAAAATAAATAAATAAATAAATAAATAAATAAAAAAAATTCATTGGACGGACACACCCACACACAGGCTAATTAACAAATAATTTTGGAAAAGAACAAAACCAGTGTAATTTTCTGCTTCTTATACTTCACATTAGAAAGTATGCCCAATGGGTTTTTTTTAGTACTTACCATTTAAATCTTTGAAACCAACTGCAAAATTAAATTCAGCATCAGATGGTTTTTGGCGAGCAATAGGCATGGCTTCCACCTCAGATGATTTTTGCTGAGGAATAGGCATTGCTTCCACTTCTAAGCTCTGATTAAAAAAAAAGAACAGTTTTATAATTTGAAAGCCTTATAATCTCCTATGATGGGAAGCACATTTATATTTCTTTTGGCTGTTTTTGTCCATTGGAAATGTTTTGCTTTAGAATTATGAAACCTACAATGTTTTTCTCCAGAATATTTTCTTCAACTACAATTATCTCTCTCACACACATATATGCATATACATACCAGTATGTACAATGATAAGAAAAATAGTTTTTGAACAATGGTTTATTGTATTCTGTATGATGAACAACATAACACATTTGAAGATAAAAATTAGCACATGAAACTTGGCTAATAATAATCTGCCCCCAAATTCCTTTCTTTAACAGAAGTGTTTATTGCAAAAACATTACACAGAGGAATGTAAGCACATAAGAATTTAAGCAAAATCATATCAGATGACTGTCCAGTCCAGCATTCTCTTCTCATAGCGGACAACCAGATGTTCCTAAGAAACCCACAACCATATATAAAAGTGACACTTTTCTTTTCCAGCAGCTAGTATTGGTATTTCCTAGATATGCTGGTATTATAATTCCCAGAATGCACATTCTCAGTGATTCTGGCTAAAGTCCCAACAAATCTAAAACTTTATTATATTTACAATATTAATCCCTTTTTCTGACTCAGTAATAGTCAGATACAATAGTTTTAGTGTTACAATAGTTTTGTAACACTAAAACACTGACTTAGTAAACCATTAAAATATTAAAAACATATAATTTGTTATTCTGTGGATTCATTTTTTTAAATTTTATTATAAGTCAATCCCAACATTTAAATTTTGGGCAATGAGTATAAGACATTGCTTCCAATTTTTACCTCACAAAATATTGAGCCATTTCTTATTACTGTGCTGTATTTGCCACTTACACTTACAAAGAAACAGATGGATGGATCTTCAACCATACAATCATAACCATCATCTTGACTTTTTGATCACTCTCTGAGGAAACCCCTGATGATCAAAGTTCATTGTAAAACTTAATTGAATTTAATGTGCCATCAAGTTATTTTCAACTCCTATCAACCATATATATTTTCTATATGATAATCTATCCCTAACCTGGTCCTTCAGTTTTACCAATGGTGCACTGTAGCTGAGTCTTGTTGCTAGTTGTCCTCTTCTTCTCCCATCATTACAGCCTTCTCCAGAGAACTAGGTTTTTGCATAATGTGTCCAAAGTAGAATAATTTCTTCCCTTAATGCACCTCTCCTATGACTATCTCAGTTGATAATCATATTTACATTTTTAGATAATGAATTTCATAGTTTATCCATCCTTTTGACTGGTTATGTACAAGATGCCAGCTTGCTGGAAGCTCAGTTAGGTTAAATATGTACTAAGATACAGAAAATGGGTTGAATTTAGTAAGCTCCCAGTTAAGTTAATGACAAATAAACATATTATGCTAACCCACCCAGTGTCTAACTTGAAATTTCTTACTATTCATCTTACAAGACCCTTGTAAGATAGTGGAAGTAGTACAATTACTTCTTTGGCTAACTACTTCCCTGTGCTGTGCCTGCACACAACTTCTTTCATTGCACAACCCTAGCAAAATATCCAACAATGCTAATATTTATAGGGAAAATGCTAAAACTTGGAGGAGGAATCTAACTCAGCCTCTTCCACCACTGATGTGAAATGAGATTTTATAATATTCTGTCAGTTTTTATTGTTCTTCATATGCTTCAAGGATAAATCACATTTTCACAGATCTATTTTTGTTCTGAACGTTTAAAAAAGCAACTATTGGAATCAAAGCTTGCTTGTGGGAGTATTCCACTCACAGTAAATCAATCAATCCCAGCACTGACAAAATATTTCTTTATCAGGAGCTGTTGACCAAAAAGAATGGGATAATCAGCTGCTTCTATAATTCAGGGCAGGGTGGAAAATGGAAGGACAGAAGAAAGGTGGGAACTGCAGTGGAAAATGGGAGTTCCCCACAATCAGAAGTAGAGATCTCCCTAAACAGAAGAATACCAGGGCTGTGTAATATGATATCCAAGGACATAGATAACCAGTACAAATTCCTAAGTATATTTTGGATTGTACTCGCATATTTTATTTTTCATTTGCAAGCTAGATATAAAACAAGAAGTAGAAGTATTCCAAATATGGGGAAAGCTTTATTGAGAAGATAAAAATGTACAATCGTTCCACTCTGTGAAAGAAAATAGCAGACACGCTGGGGAAAATAGAGAAGGAAACTTTAAAAGACAGAATTATATACAAATAAAGAAATAGAACAAAAGGGGAACTGAGGCAAAAGTCTCTTCTGGCAACCACCTTATGGCTGCCTCTCTTGTTGTATTTATGAGGAAGCTATTTCATTAATAAGGGTTTAATGGCATTTTTATGAATAGTTGATCACTACTTTAGATTTATTAGAAAGATGATCTGAAATTTAAGGCACCAAAATGGAAGAATAAAGACAGGCAAAATCCCCCCAAAGATCAAAACTCTTGTCTAATGCCATTCCCCATCTTGCCATTTTAAAATAGCGAATTCCAGCTAAGGCCAATTTTCCAATTTTCCATTACCCTCAAAATATGTGCAAGTTTTGTGCATAGGCTACGTGCCTTATACTTATCCGAGGTCACACTGCAAAAAAGGAAGGAGCCAGCAGTTGCGTGCATGTGCATACAGCCACACACCCACACAAAGTAACATTTGGCTGTAAAATAAATCCTCCCATTTATAGCTGGAATTAATCAGTAATTTCTCAATCATAATTTTACTCTGGGTTACAAGCAAAACACTTGCTCACATAAAAACTTGGCTGCTCTCCATCAAACAGAAGCAGCAAAAGAAAAAGAAAAAAAAGAAGTCAGACATATAATGAAGATTGTGCAAGAGGAAAGCAGAGGTCTCCAGAGGAAGAAAGGAAAAACAAGGAACAAGACTACATAGAAATAAACCAAGAAAAATCTTGTGGGGTGCAAAAGGACCAACATGTTGTCACCAGCAGTTCAAATGACTGAAGCTAAATAGAAAAGGTCCTTCCAGAGGAGGAGCATATTATATCAGCTCCAGATTCCATATTTTCCCAAACTATATTCCTTAATATTAACACAATCTATAAAAGAATATATTGTGGTCCTGCTTGATTCATTTTCTGATGGGAGAAGGAAGAAGTAGAACCAGGGGCTTCCAGGGATTGGAGTCCTGAAGGTAGCAATTTCAGCAGTGTTAAAGCCAATAACTCCATTCAGTTATGATAGACAGCTCTATTATTCTGTTGCATGTCCCTAGCTCGACTTTCTTCTCATCATCATCATCATAAGGGCCACTACATTAAGAAGATGTACAGTGCATTCAGAAAGTATTCACTTTTGTCATTTTTGTTATGCTACAGCCTGATTCTACAGTTGTTGTAATTCACTTTTTCTCATTAATGTACCCCCTAGTGACAAAGTGAAAACAGAATTTTAGAAATGTCTTAAATTTATTAAAAAGAAAAAGAAAAAACAAAATTTACATTGGCATGTATTTAGATCCTTTGTAACAACACATGAAATTTAGCTCAGATGACTCCAGCTTCTCTTGATAGTTGCTGCCATTTCTACACCTTGATTGGAGGCTGTGGTAAATTAAATTGATTGGACATGATTTGGAAAGGCACACACCTCTCTGTAGAAGGCCTCACAGCTGGCAATGCATACTGTGGCAGGGCAAAAGTCATGAGGTCAAAGGAACTGCTTGCAGAGTTCAGAGACAAGATCGTTGCAAGGCACAGATCTGGGTAACCTAGAATAAAATTTGTGCTGCACTGAAGGTTCCTAAGAGCACAGTGACCTCCATAATTCTTAAATGGACAACCAGGATTCTTCAAAGAGCTGCCTGGTCAAACTGAACAATCGGGGAGAATGCCTTAGTAAGAGAGGTGACCAAGAACCCGATGATCAGCTCCAGAAATCATGTGGAGATGGGACAGAGTTCCAGAAGGACAACCATCACTGTAGCCCTCCACTCCGCTGGGCTTTAGGGCAGAGTGGCTAGATGGAAGCCTCTCCTCAGTTCAAAATACATGAAAGCCTGCTTGGAGCTTGCAAAAAAGCACCCGAAGGACTCTCAGATTGTGAGGAACAATCTGCTCTGATGAAACCAAGATTGAACTGTTTGGCCTCCGTTCTAAATATTATGTTTGGAGGAAACCTGGCACCGCTCATCACCTGCCCGATATCATCCCAACAGTGAAACATTGTGATGGCATGCTATGGGAGTGTTTTTCAGTGGTAGACACTGGGAGACCGGTTAGGGTTGAAGGAAAGTGGAATGGAGAAAAATAAAGGGATATCCTCAATGAAAACCTGTCCCACAGCGCTCAGGACCTCAGACTGGGCTGAAGTTTCACTTTTCCTAAGCACACAACCAAGATAACACAGGAGTGACTTAGAACAACTCTGTGAATGTCCTAGAGTGGCCCAGCCAGAGCCCTGACTTGAACCCTATTAACATCTCTGGAGAAACCTGAAAATGGCTGTCCACCGATGATCGCCATCCAACCTGACTGAGTTGAGAGAATTTGCAAGGAAGAATGGCAGAAAGCCAGGCATGCAAAGCTTGTCACGTCCTACCCAAGAAGGCAGTAATTGCTGCCAAAGATGCTTCAATTAAGTACTGAGTCAAGGGTCTGAATGTCAATGTGATATTTTAGTGTTTTTTTTCTTTTTAATAAATTTACAGACATTTCTAAAATTCTGTTTTCACTTTGTCATTATGGGGCACTAAGTGTAGATTAATGAATTTCAACAACTGTAGAATCAGGCTGCAGCCTAACAACATTGACAAAAGTGAAGGGGGTCTAAATGCACTATAGCTGGACAGCACCAGGAGTTGTCATTGTTTGTTAACCTTGGCAACTTTTAAGATTACATGGACTTTAACTCCAGGATTTCCCAGCCAGGGAATTGAAGTCCACATATCTTAAAGTTGCCAAGATTGAGAAACACTGATCTACATGTACCCAGTATCACTGCTACCTGCCAGATCCCCAGGATTAATTAACTAACTTGGGAGGGAAACGTAAAGTCAAATACATGAGCAAACTATACAATACAAACTCCAATTTCAGCATGAAGTACTGCAGTGGGCAGGAAGGTTGCAGTTTTTCCCCCCTTCTATTTTGAAAGATGCAGTTGGGTATGCAAACTAGAAAAACTTTGATGTTTTGACTGCATTGACTTGCATTGATTTACTCCATCAATTTAAAAGCCTCACACAGGGAAAAAGTTCTAGCATAAAGAAAAGAACATTTACAATTTAATAAATATAAAAAGCAGAAACTGAAGAGGAAGAAAATAGGATTATTTGTTTTATTTCCCACGGGCATACTTACCTGTGTTAGCAAATCCATTTCTCCCAATAAATCACTGAACATTTGATCTATGTCTTCATAAGCTTCCTCCATCTGAAACCACAAAAACATGAAATGGGTGTCAGTATCATATTTTACTATCTACAAAGAATTTGTAAACTGTTCTATAGTGCAAAATATGGAATTCAAAAAAACTTTTCCCTAGCTTTTACTGAATTAAATGTAATTAATAAATGATTCTCATTTTAATAAAATGTGATTGTTGATTTTATAAACAAAACATGTAATATTCCTGCCATCAATATAGAAATGACTTGCCACTGTCTTCCACTTTTTTTCAAGATAATCTTTGATTTGCTTAGCAATCATTCAAATTTAAGATGACTTCTCCTCCCCAGAGCTGTTTGCACTTTCTCGTGTTTACTTCCCGTATTTGGCAAAAACAAAAACAAATCCACCCATAGGGGAAAATGGATTTGCTTAACAACTGCGTTTGCTTAATGACCATCATAAAAATGGTCATAACTTGAAATCTGGTCATGTGATGCCTCAACCTATGTCAGCAAGCTCAATTTCAGGCTCAATTAGGAACATAAATTTAGGACTACTGGTAAATAGTTTAATTTTTATTTAGGGTAAAAAACTCTTGGGATTATTGTTATCAAACAGCACCATTCCAATATGAGCCATTGATTGTATCATGTCCTATTTTATCAGTTTGCAAAATAGAACATGATACGATCAATGGCTCATAATGGAGTGGTGCTGCTTAATAACAATAATCCCAAGAGTTTTTCAGTAAAACAGAGTCCTCCAGAAATTTCCCAAGTTATTCTATCAATTCTCCAGGAACAATGGACTGAAGAACGCATGCTATGTGAAAAAACAGTGCAAGTCCTCCATATTTCTTGATTGCCATCTCATAATCATCCAGATATTCTTAGGTATCTCAGTCCAGATACCTAAGAAAGGCTTTCAGGCACTGAGGCGGGAGGAGGCATGGACGCCACATATATATTGAACGGAAATATGAATGGAGGAGAGCATAGGGATACCTTGAATGAGTGAGGAAGTAAGGGATAACCTTTCCAGGACCCAGGCCTGCCGATGAGAAAGGGAAGAATTAAGGAAATTACCTTCCTCTTCCTCTTCTACTGCTGCCCCCAATTGCTGTTTTCCTTCATAAAAAAAAATCTACATAATGTAGAATGCTAAGCAAAGCATCTTGTTTCATTTTTATCAAAGAAATAAGAAATACTGCAATAAAGAAAGGAATGGGAGGACTTCAACTACAAAGAGATTCTATCTTCAATCTAGGGCTCACTGTATAATTTCCCAGAAAAATATGCAAATTAAAAAATACAATTTGCAAGAGTTTAGTTTGAGGAACATTTGTTTCTAAACTAGTGTATTTTAGTGGAAACATGCAGTGTTGTCTTCTAATAGGTAAGAAACAAATAACGAATGCTTTGAATAGCACCTAAGAAAACATAGTTCAACCAGAATAAAGATGAAGATTGATCATGACGAAACACTGCACCATTTATAACCCTTCTACTAGCTGTATATGGAACTGAATTTATGAAAGAAATTAAGGAATAACCACATCATTAAACTGATTATTTTTCCCTCTCAATTTTTCCCTCCACTATTATCCATAGTTATTATGAATTGTGTCATAAAATTAGTCCTGACAGCATAATTACTGATTGGATTCAAAATTAACAATATTGTTTTAGTTCATATTATATCCATTATTTTATGGAAGAACTTTTTATTGTTCAATAGTTTTTATTATATTTATATGTATGTGTACACATATATTATGTGCACTAATAACATGCATTTCTAATAAGTGCATTTTTGTTTAAATGATGCACACATGAATAAGGAAGGAAGGATTGATTTTAAAAAATGCCTATTGTTTTGTTGATTTGTCAAATACTTATACTAAACAGAGTACATTTACTGCATCTTTGGGAGGTATATTTCATTGTTAAATTTGTTTATTAGTTCCCTGAATGTGTTAATTAAATAAGCTAAGCCATAATCCCTCCCTTTCAGGCCACAAAAACAAGGATCCAATGTAATAGGAAGTTACTTGGGTGGTGAATTCCTTGGGGGAAAGTGATTATATTAGATAAAATGTTTGTTTTGCCCTTTTCAAATATTCATAATTTCTGTTTTATGTTTATTCAATCTATTTTTAATTTTGCACATTACCAGAGTCACCACAGAGTTCAGTAGCTTTGCAGAATTGATAAATAAACAGCTCTCCCATATAAAAAATAAAAACGCAATATTCAGTTTTCTGAATACTAATGAGAATAGAATATCCTTCCAAACCTGGAACCCAACAAATGTTTGCAATTTCCAGAAGCCAACCCCTACATGCTAGCATGAAATTCTGAAACTTATAATCATCAGACTTTGAAAGAGCCAGCTGATAATCTCAGAAGACAAGTAAGAAGCTGACATTGTAATGTCAAATATCTTGTTCATGCATTGTGAGAAAGTCATGAAATGTTAGTTTGTGGAATTGATGCCAATTAACTGGTTTTACCCAATGTACCAGCCCAAACCAAATAAATTACATTATGGTTTAATGTGTTAATTGAATCAGGGCTAAGAATCCATGAGAGCTAAATGCATTACAGCTACTATGATTCATACTATTTTTCTGAAGTATCAGGAATCTGGCTAAAGCAATCGGCACGTTATCATTTCATAGGGAACAAAGAACACTATCAGCAATAATTAGAGATACTAGGGTAGAACAGTGTTTCTTTTTTTCTCCAGACCATTCCCCATTTTTAAAAATTATGGACGTCACCAAAAAAAGTGCTTTTGTTTGTGTGGGTTATGTTTACCAATAATGCTGGGCTAAAAATTAAACCTGATGTATTCATTGTCACTACTCATGAATGTTTAATGAGATTTTAATATTGTGTTATTTTTCAACATAGGCTGGCAAATAATTTTGAGAAACACTGGGCTAGAGTGTTTAGACATGCCTTCAAAATCTGAGGAGTCAAAAATCCCAAGGGAAAAAGTCTATTCAACAGGAGCATTAATGATCTTATGTACAATCCACTTTTTTCCAGGTGATTCGGATATCATTTGCTCTATTAAGAATTTACATGTCACATTTCCCAACAAAAGCTTTCTCAAGGCAGCAATCAGGCTGTTCTGTGGTTTCTAGGACAATTTATTTAGTCTGCCCTGCAAAGAGCAGCACCATTAGCAAAATAATACAGCTTTCACAGCTTAATGGAAAGCAAGAAAATCAGGAGATAAATGAAACTTGGAAGGTGAGCTATTCAACTGAAGAACCACCATCAAGGACTGTCTCCAGGTATCCTGGGCCAGCAGTTACAACTGTACGTGGTAAGATGTGGATCAGAGTTCTCTGTGTCAGCTCTCTCACTTCAGTGAAGAATTGGAAAGTTCAGGTAGAGCAAACAAGCTTATTTCAGAAGTCAAAAGTCCATGTAGATAAACTCAAGATCTAATCATCTGATTTGAATGTAGTCTCATTTCATGTAGATAAGTCCAAAATCTAATATCCAATCTGAAGGGACTCCCAGTCTGAGAATTAACTAGGACATCAGAAGTAACCCATGTTGAGGAAGTCAGGTCCAAAGTTGGAAAACCATCTGCCAATAGAAGTCTGATTCTCAATTCTTCTTTATTGTACTGACTCATGCCTGTTTTCCTGACTCATGACCCTGTCATATGAGAAGCCTGTCAAAATGTCTCTAATCTACTCCCTTGATCTTCCTCTACTTGTGACAGCTAGGACATTTTTCCTGCTCAGGATCTCTGTATCTGACTGAGCCTGATGTTGTGTTTCTATAGCAGGTGTTGATTCCTGATTTCTCTACACATTCTGACTCTTCCTTCAACTGTTTGGCTCTTGAGTTGCAAGGTGAAAACCTGTCATGCTTTGCTCCTTCAGTTTACACATTGGGTCCTTCATAATCATTCCTTCTTAAAATGTTTGCACAGGATGGGTGGAAATATCAGTAGATTGCCAGGGTTCTGACAGATGCCATAATTAAATCATGAGCCTTAAGCCAAGCTTCAAAAGAAATCCAGTTGTTTATTAGGAGCTTCATGCCAGCACGGATCAGGTGGAGCCAACTCTGACCTCAGTTAATTCGTGCTTTGTTTCTGGCCGTTTCCCCCTCCCCCCAATATGTGTCATCAGTCACATTCCCCAATGAAGCAATTTCACAGTTTGTAAAAGTCACTCCTTCCAGGGTTCCTGTGGAGATGACCTTGACGTATTAGTTGGAATGTTTTATTTATTTATTTATTTATTTATTTATTTATTTATTTATTTGATTTGATTTGCCAATTGTTTACAAGATAATAAGTATAAGTGTATACATAGTTGTGAATACATGAAATGGGTACATATAAGAAAAATAAAAGAATAAGAGAAACAATAGGACAGGGACGGTAGGCACGTTGGTGCGCTTATGCACGCCCCCTACAGACCTCTTAGGAAAGGGGTGAGGTCAATAGTAGACAATGTACCTTGTTTTGACTGAGGTACCAGCTGCTCGATGCAAGTTCGTTCTCCCATCTCCCTTGCCCATGGCATCTCGACAGCAGTTCAGGGATGCTTTGCCAGTTGAAATAGATATTCTGCCAGTGGAGAGGCACTCATGCATATAGAGCATGGGTGTCAAACTTGCAGCCATCATGTGACATTTCTCCCATTTGCGGAGCTAGGGTGGGCATGGCCTGAGTGTGATGTATCTGGCCTGTGGATCACCAGTTTGACACCCCTGATATAGAGCTTTCTAACTTGTAGTGACTGAAGCAATAGTTTGCTGTTGAATGGTTTATCACTGCCAACAGCTCGGCACTTGAGTTTGGACCAATTGAGCTTTCTAGATTGTCTTTAGAGACAGGCCTGTGCATTTTTAATGATAAAATGCAACACACTAAAAACTTCTGTATATTTGTTCTCGTTCCCTACTTCCTATTGGAGATTGGAATAATTATTTTTATTGCAGAATCAAACAACACAATCATAATTTATTTCCTGATATGTATTTCCATAATAGGTACGACTGCTTGAA